AAAAATTCGTTGAAGTGTTGCAAAATATGAAATCGATAATAAAACAAATTTCAAATTAGGGCTTCCAGATGCCCTAATTTGATTTACAGATACAGGTCGAAATACTGTAGTTTACTTCAGTAACGAAATTCACGTGAGAACTGCTGGTAACTCCAGATAAAACCGCGTCAATTGCCTCGTTGTGCACAATGAAAGAAATGCCATCAACACCCAAAGTATTGTGCTTGAAATTTTTTCAAGCACCTTTCAACGTCAACCTCAGAAATTGTCTTGATCGCTACCGGGTGGCCTTCATTTGTTAAATAGTTAGCAGTAACGCTTGTCCGCAGAAGAGGAGAATCTGTCATCATCTATCAAGGAATTCTTCAAATGAGCGTGGGAAAGTACAATTTCGGTTTCAAAATGCCATGCGTAATTTCGAGGCTATAATGACAGCAAACACTTTTGGATGGCATACACACATCTTTGTGAAAATGCGTATATATTTGGCTTAAAGATACCAGTATTCAAATCTGATTTTGTATATAACTTAACAAACCAGTATTGGCATGTAGCCGACTCGAAACAGTATTTCCAGGAATTAAAAATTATTTAAGCCCAAAAACGGCTATTAGTCACAAAATAGTTCATTGTAAACCCTGAATAACTTTTCAAATTGTCGCCCCAATATCATTTGTATTATTTTAAAAAAAAACTATTTGTATTATTTTTAAAGAAATTAAATATTTAAGAATATGCATGTATGTTATTGTGAATAAACGACATTACCTGGAGCCATCCAGTTTTTGAATAATGTAGTCCTCCACCCAAACATGTGCCCCTGGAAGTCCGAATTTTAAACTTCGAAATTTTTTTATTATTTATTTCACATTTTGTAAAACTTTAATATATTTTTAATTAAGAAAACTCAACAATTTAAAAGCGAGAAGTGGCAACACTGTTCCAAACGACGCATTTTTATCTTAGCGCGCCAGACTGTTGCCATTCAGAAAAATTTATGATATTTATCTTTCAATTTTAATTAAAATTAATTAATTATTCAATTTTAATTAATAATAAAAGAAATGTGTCGCAGCAGCGGAAATTAAAATACTTTTGTTCTCCACGTGCAAGTTTACGTCTTGCACGTGGAGGTTTTCAGTAAAACCTAAGACACTTCGAAATTTAATCTGGAAAGCTACTGAGTAACAATAAATTAAGCGAAAGAAGTTAATAACAAAAAAAAAAAAAAAAAAAAAAAGTTTTGTAAGCCATCTTTACTAAGAAAAGTGAATACTGAACAGAAAAATATACGTCAGCATTTAAAACTGCAAAGGAAATTCCCAACATATGCTATGATTTCAATAATTAAAAAAAATTATGATTTTGCTGTTGACTTGTATATGGCATGAATGAGAATAAAACGATGATTAATAATAAAACTAAAAAGACAAAAAAATAATAATGGATTAAAATAAAAAAGAAAAGAAAATCTTAAATCGTTCAGATTTTATATTATTTCCAAAAGAGCTTTTTTTTTTAAATGTTTTAAAATGGAATTAGTAGAAGCGAGTATAAGACCAGATTCATAGACTGCGAGCTCAAGGAGAGAAAAAACCTTAACAAACGCTTTTGGGTGACTGTTAAAATCTGAAACTTTTGTATTTTCTAGCTCAAAGGGCTATTAATTTCAAAACGGCATTTTGCATCGTTTCACTTTTGCGTTAGTTGACTACTCAAACTGTTACCAGGAAATATAATCGCCATGTAAAGAAATTAAATAATGAAGAAAGAAAGAAATTAAATAATGAAAAATAGATACTTAAGGAAATTAAATAATGAAAAATAGATACTTAAAGAAAGTAAATAATGAAGAAAGAAAGAAATTTAATATGAAGAAATTAATTAAATAATGAAGAAAAATATTTAAAGAAATTAAATAGTGAAGACCCTGCATGAATGTTTCTCGCATTGTGAAAAAACAATTGTACCTAAAGCCATCAAATTTTGAATAAGGCAATCCTGCAATCGAACATGGGCACTTGGAAGCCCGAATTTTTAATTTTTTTATTACCTATTTCAAATTTCGTAAAAATTTAATGAAACGATTTCAAAGCGAGCAATGGCAACGTTGTACACAAAAAAAAAAAAAAAAAAAAAAAAAAAAAAAACACTTTTATCTCCAGCCCGTGAGACTGTGTATTGGAAATTCTAAAGATATGATCTTTTAAAATTATTTTGTGATACTGCTGTTGAGTTGAATTTTATGTTTTAAGTAAGTAAGATGATCATGATAAAATAAAATAAAGGTAACACACAAATCCTTAATAAAATGCCCATTTGGACGCAATTCAAAATCTGAAAACTTTCAGATTTTCTTTTAATCCTTTTCTATTTGCTTAATAGCGCGAGTTAAATTTTAGACAACAACGTAGTGAAAATTCCATAATGCATTATCCTAAAATAGACATCGTTTTACAAAATTATTTATTTTAATAGCTATGAAACTTTCAAAACGTGTTTTGAATTGCTGTATTCAATGCTATATACATTAGTGCAATTTAGAATATGAAAAAGCAATATTCTCATTTCCATTTATGAAATAACCAATGCTGTTGACAAATTAATGTGTACCCTAGGGTAATTCCAGTTCCAGGATATCATTGAAATTATTTCTCCTTATAACAGATGTGGGAAAAACCCTGATGAAATTAAGCATGACATCATCATTTTCTCCTGAATGATGCCGCCATACATATGAAAAAGGCAGATGAAACACTTCTCAAAATGTTGTATCTGAAATGAGTCGTAAATGCTTTGCGTGAAAAGTTCATGAATTGTTGCCAGACGTTGACAAACCTATTTTTATTCTAAGAAAGATATTTTTAAATCTATGTTATAGTGAGAGTCTTTGGAGAGACTGCAGTTGCTATATTAGTTTTGACAAAGTGAGTAACATGATCGAATGAGATTGTTATTATGCCAATCAGTAATAACTTTAGGGGGCATGACAGTGTGATGGCCCAAGGTACTGAATACTGAAGATTCAAGCTTGGGTCAAACTACCAGTATTCATCAATTGCTATGCTCAACTGCTTGTAAACTTGAACAAAAGTATGAATATCTTGTTAGTGAAACCCATGACGTAAGAAAATCGGGAAAATTTATAAAGATTAAAACATGGTCGATTTTGTTATGAATTCCATGATTCTGACATGTTTTAAATACACTCCTGCTACACGGATAGAGGCGGAATGATCCTTGTCCTGCTTACAACTGATACATCATCATGTCAATGTAGAATCTGAAGGAAAGTTTAGGTTATTCGAATATGGCAAAGAAAACCGACTATGGACCTGAAGAAAGATGCCGTTTTGAACAACTTTCTAAGGGAAACTAGCTTGTATTTGCATTACATATGAGTAAAACTAGAAAAATCAATCATGCAACCAGCCCTTAAACCATGATATGAAACCAGATCTAACTACCAGTATTCAATATCAGTTGTAGGAAAAATATGAAGAAAATGCTTGCAATATCATGTAATCAGAAATTAACTATGTGCTGCATAAAAGGATTACTTTTGCAAGTTTCGAGGTGGAGAATACTACTTTTTTTTTTTTTTTTTTTTTTTTTTCTTTATATAGGTATTTGGCCATGGTATTCATTGCATATATTCTCTGTCATTCATACAGAATACTAATATTTTTAGTAAAAAGGGTCTTTTTCATTAAGTGCTTTGCTTGTCGATATTCTCAAAATTATGTTTAATAATTAGTGCTACTGTACATTTAACATATTAATGGATTCTTTACTAAATAATACATTTAAAACATTCATTTTACACAAGCAATTTTTCAAAGTTGTTTTTTGAATTTACTTGGTGATAGCTTAAAATATTTTATTTTGAAACAACTGTCTTTTTCATAATAAATTTGACAATGCCAAATATCTTCAATAAAATTCAAATCCTTTAAAGTAGCATTTTAAATAAAACTAGAATAAACATTATGCATCTTGTTATCTTTCCAGATTCATTCAAACTTTGATTAATTACTCAAAGCAGTGGTTTACTAACTTTGATGACGCTGGGAATATATAAAAGTATTTTGTCATCTCAGAGAACCAATAATAATTTTTTTTTATTCTAATCATCTATTGTATATAAACACCTAGCATCCTCTGAAAAGTAATTTTTAAAAGTGCATTAAAAATATATCAAATTTTTAAGCATGAAAACTGATTTAATTCTTTTTATTAAAAATCAAAAACTAAACTAAAAACTAAAAAAAATCTTCCAGTAGATCTTTTGTTTAAAATATTACATGATAGTTTTCCATCTAAAGATTATGTAAATAATTTATTTTAAACCAGATTCCTTCAGATATACAATAAAATAGTACAAGTTGTCACATTTATTACAAAATGTTCGTAATTTAAATTAATTAAGTATTCATTTGAATAATATATAGAGAAATAAAATATAATTTTTTTTCTAATAAAATGATGAAATTAAAGCACAAAATACTAATTATTAGATGAAATGTATTGGAAATATTAAGAGAATGAATTTAAAACTGAAATCTCATATGTTTCTCAGTGATTTAAAATAAACACAAGAGTATATTGGAAAGCTATACATGTTAAAATGTTAATATTTGGTATGTATTTAGTTAGCATCTGTAGTACTTTCAGAAAAATTTTCTCTGCTTATTTATTCTGTGCATAAATTGAAACATATTGCACAAGCATGTTTCAATTTATGCACAGAAATTTACTGATCGTATGTGACATCATCTTACACGTAGTTCGGATGTCACGTGACCTCCCTGCGCGTTTGGGGATTTAGCGCTGACGTAAGTTATAGCCCTAAAACATTAAATACAAATATGAATGCTAGTTAAGTATCCATAAATGGTTTATAGGTAATCTGACGATAAAACCGGAAGGAATTTAATCTTTATTTATATTTTAAATAAGATACTAATATATCAAGAACTCATAAAAAAATATTCACTTACCCTAATCCTCGCGAGTACATTTGAATCCTACCGCACTGCCTTTGAAGACCGCCAAACTGATTTCGAGAACTTTGACACCGACACCGAGCGAAAAACAGTCTGGTGGAGCGTTCTTCAAGAGGCGGAGCGTCAACTTTCATTGTCCAATCAGTGTAGTTAGTGGATGTTCCCTATTGGCCGATACTACTATTGGACCATGCTACCTCAGGGAGGGGGCCCAAGAGCGATGCGTAGTGCAGGGAGAAAATTATGCTACATGCGCATGACGTCATGTGGGTGACAGCATGGTCCATGGGTGACATCCGTTAGTTCTCGGCGTTTGTTTACATTCGTTGCATCAACAGTCTGATTTGATTTGTGTTGTTAATTTGCTCTTATAGCTATTCGGAAGTGCCAAATTGTGCTGTAACGTTGTGTCAGAATTATACACGCCAATACTTTTTTGGCGGAAAACACTCTTTAAAACTAGATAAAATAACTGACTATTTTTTAATGAATTTATGTAGTTTTCATACATAACGGTGGTGTAATTTTACATTTATTTTCATTTTACTGTTTTTTTTACATTTAAAATTGAAAAATTTCTCATATTAAATCATTTTTTTATCATAATCTTCATTTTGTAAATGAGACTTACATCATAGTGAGGTATTTGAACTCAGTGTTATGTTTACCAATACTGAGTACCTGAATGATTAGCTGATAAATTCGCTTTTCCAACTTCATTCACATGTTTTGGTTACTTTCTTTACATCCCAAACGCAATTCTATGTAATGAAGCAATGTCTGGGTTAAGCATTGTGAACTAAGTAAACTGATACATGCTTTACCGTGAGGAAAGAACAATTTGTCGACCACACTATGATGCAAACATCGAATGAGTGAGTGACATATTTCCTTCAGTGTAAACTTATGTCCCCTTAACTTATGCATATGTCTGATGTAACTTAATTGATATGACTAAGTGAACTTACACCATGCTTGACCCTGAAGGAAAACAAATCTGTGTATTGTGCTGGTGGATATACAAGCAGCGAAAGATTAAGTAAAGATAATTCTCTTCAGTGTTATTTAACTGCTGCATATGTTTTAATTTTCATTCCATATAATTTGTTTTTAATTATAAGAGAAAAACAAATAATTAAATACTGAACACTATTTTGAGTATAACAAAAGAATTTTAAGAAACAACCTGATATAAATACATTAGTAATTAAAAATATTTAATTTGAATACAGGGTGAATTGAAATTAAGATGTAGGGCAAGTTTATTATTATTATTATTGTGCATTTATGTGTAAGAAATGTATTTTCATTATTCCATTTTTAATATATGGAGGGAAGAATAGGGCGTGAAAATTGAAGATTATTTGCTATAGCAAATAAACACGCCAGGATAAATGTTATTTAGAAATTGTAGGAATGTAAAGGATTATGAGAGTGCTTTTAGATAATACTGAAAATATATGCACTTCTGCTGAAATCTGAAGTGAATCGGTATACGTAAGTGAATTTAAAGGCATGTGATAAATCTATTTAAAAGTATAAGGATGTGATATTAAGAAATGTGTAGAATTTTAGGGTAATTAAATATGAATTTATTGATTTAAATCTTTTCATATATTTTTTTGCTTGAGTCATGTAATAATTTAAACTGAAAATAACGATCGTATATTTCTGATGGAATGTCAAAGTTCATTTGTATTAAAGGCCCACCAGCGGCCGAGGGATAAAGTCGCTGAACACTGGTAGTTCGGTCCGAGGTTCGAATCCCGCGAACGGGCTGGTTGCATTAGCGTTTTCGTGGTTTTCCAAATGTGTAACGTGTATACGAGCCAGTTTTCCTTAGAAAGTCCTCCACGAATGCATTCCTCCCCTTAGGCAGATAGCCCTTGAAGCTTTGCTATAATCACGCACACACATTTGTATTAAAAAAATGCATGAGCAATGAAAATAAATAGGAAAATACTTTTTGATTATGTTATTACCATGGTTTTAGCAGTTATGCCTTCATGTGTTCTATTCAACAAGATTTATTTAATGCAGACAATACAGCCCAAAAATATTGAAAAATACCTAGTTTTACAACATTTAGTTCCCTTAATTAACTTAAATACCGTTTTTCATTTTCTAATGCTTTCCTTTAAGAAAAGGATGTAATGTTTACAATTATTTTCAGCATTCGTACGAATTCTGTGCATAAAATAAACATTTGCTTTAACAAAATGCTTAATCAGAAAGTATATACCCGGTATTTCCGGTATGTTATTAGAACTATCACATAAAAAATGATTATTTTGCTTTAGTTTGCATTTTTTCCATTACCAAAATCATGTAGCAGACGCGGCGACCCATGTGTCTTGTCACCTGGGTTACGTCACTACCAGCAACCAATGGCACGCCATCAAGGATCAAGGAAGTTCGTGTTACGGAGTTCTTAGGCATAAACGCCTTTACCTCCACATCATCTGAAGAATAAAACGTCATCATCAAAAGAGGGAATTTTCTAATAAGGTAAAAATTTTTGTTAAGCCGAAAAAAGCTTTTAAGAATAAGTGCCTTCACACTGAAAACAAATATGAAACTCAGAAGGTCTTAATTTTGCGCCAAAATAAGGAGCCAGAATAAATTAGAAATAGGGCAGTCATCTTAAAACAAAATTTTGCTAAAGACTAGAAAATAAAAGCAGGTGTTTCCTTGATACTTGATCTTTCTTTGACGTCAACGTCAACTTCGCGGAGAGAGCGAAGAGTCCGTAGGGAAAAGTCAATGAGCTTTCCCTGGAATGGGATGGGGAACGCTCTTACGCGTCGAAAAAAGTTGCTGAGTTTGTCAGTTGGTCAGCTGACGGAGGGAGCAGTTTCGTTTCGCCCGCTATTCAGTGCGGTCTTTAAGGCCAAATGATTGACACCTCTTAAGGGGTGCTAAAAGCAAGTAAAAGCACTTTTAGAAGGGCTGAAAGAGCTATTTTGAAGTAGAGAAATAGTCAATTGACTTTAGATTTAAAAATTAGGTTCAGTCGCCTGCGACTGTAAAGCTTCTTCTTAAAGAAGCAGGAGGGGTTCCTCCGGTCAATGACTTAAGCATTCAAGACTCGAGAGGCGGGAAGGGGAAGGGGAAGGAACGAGAAGTAATTATTCACATGCATGTCAGTGTGAGCATACCTTGCCTGTTTAAATGGTTTAATGGTTTAAATGGTTTGCAGCATAGTCCGGGTTGAGAACCGATCTCGGTCTCTTCCTAGATGAGGCGACTGCAGGATCATATACAGGCAGCATATGCAGCACAGGATTTGCAACATGTTGAATATTTTTGAAAAAGTTTTCCGAAAGTCGCTGTATAAAGCGATTAATGGGCATAATTTTGAGATCGTTATGAATCGCTTCGTTCCTTATATACACCAATGGCACGCTTTTTCCGTTCTAGGCCTAACCTTTAATATTAAAGAACCTTGATACTACTACCTTACTTGAACGTGCCAATTTTAAATAACAGGAGTGGTATTTCATAGCTGACAGTGGCATAGGGTAGGCTTCTGCCGTCCGGAACAGATGACAAATCTGTCCCCCCTACCAAATATATTATTATTACAGAGATAAAATTTTCGAGAGTGAGAAAAATAGTAAGGAGAATATAGTTTTTTTATATACTGCAAAAACTGGAGAAATTCTTTTTTTTTTTTTTTTTTTTTTTTTTACCAAAACTGAAAATACTTACTAACAGAATATAAAATTTAATCGCGAAAATATATTTTGAATTTCTATACTGAAATAAAACTCTGATAAATTATTATCTAAAAACAGTATTATTACTTTAAGAAAATTTATTGTTAATCGAAAATTACTATAAATATCCAGGAACTCTGTGTTGCAATCTGATAAAAAAATTTTTCACTGAACAAAGTCTTTTTTAGCAACAACTTTCAAAACAAAACACTATATACATACATATATATGTAATATTTTAGGATGCGTGGGGGAGAAGACACACTTTCTATTTTTAGTCATGGTCGAGATAGTTATATACGTTGCTGGTAAGATAGAGATAGAATGCGTAATAGAAGGATAGAACATGGAACAAAAACGTAACTGTAGATTCCCCACATAATTTTGTTTCTTGGTGAAAAATTTTTAAGACACATATTCTTGTTTACACAACACTGAGGATGTCAAGCACTCCACAAATAGCTGATCACATCTCGAGAAAACGCATGAAGCGGAATAAAGAATTATTCAAGTAAGTAAGCAACACACGTTAGCATTTGATGCCAGGTCAGGGCCTTTTCCTAACACTTTAGAGTCATTAGGTTATTTTGATGCTGGATACTTGAAAAAAGAGCAATGCCCTGGCTGGGACTTGAACCTGGACCTCTCGAATACGCGCCGAGTGTGTTAAGCATTACACCACGAAGGCATGCTGAAAAGAGGAGAAGCTACCTTATATATTCCCCCTTTTAAAGGTGACTGGGGATTAGGGAATGCAATCGCCAAATCCAAAGCATCATCATCCACCACTTTTTAGTTATGGCTCCACTGCAGAGACATTAGGATTTTTGAAGTCAGAAACATGATAAATTAGCAATGCTCTCATCGAAACTCGAACCTGGACCTCTCGAGTATACGCCGAGTGTGCTAACCTTTACACCTCGAAGGCATGAAGAAAGGAGGCCACCGCAGTAGAAGTTGCGTTGATGCGCCAATAAAGAGCAATCCTGTTGTTCGCACGCAGTTATCTTTTGGATTCCTTTTTGCCTTGTTGTTTGCTGATTTTTGACGTTATTTTTTAGTGCTACAAAAATGCGTCTTTGGTATTTGCCAAACACAGAAGATGCATTTTATATTTTTCAGAAGCGAAATCATTTACCAAAAAAACGAAAATGTACCAATTCGCATGATATGGAACTTTATTTTGGTAAACGTACGTTTTGGAAATAAAATTTAAGACAGTATGATCAGCAAGGTAGGACTTAGAAAAGATAACTGGTTTGAAGGAAGCAGAATTCCATTTTGTTCAGCTTTGAGATTTATATACTGCTGGTGCGAGGAGTTGACGTCGCTAAATTTTGTGAAAAGCAGCTTGATTTATCGGATAAAACTGTTATAGATTGGAACAATTACATGCGTAAATTATGTGTCTTGGA